ACAGGTGACACACATTCATGGATGGACGTCTCTGTGCGTTCGTCCCCTTTTGTTGCTCACATCGAGCTCGTGTAGACCGCCAGTCTGCAGTGTTGCCTTCTTGGTGTGCTTGGGGCCGTACACGTCGACGCGCAGCTCGGAGTGCTCGAAGGCCACCTCGACCTTCAGCCACTGGCTGTCCGATGGGAAGCCGCCCGACCGGTCAGAAGCCAACACCGATACTCGGCCCTCGATCGACTTGCGCACCTACACGAGACACACACACAAGGGGAGACGGATGGATGATGGATGGATGGATGACATTTATTTTACACATGCATTTATTCACTACCTGCAGGGCGTTTGGTGTGAGCACGACGGCGTAGTAGCTGTCAGTGTGGTAGCGCAACACCACACCGACAGCTGCGTCGTCGCCAGAGCACTGGGGGAACATGTGCAGCCTGATGCGGCCATCTCGGCAAGTCACGTGACGCTTCACCAAGGCAACGGATTGCGGGACGCCAGACAACTATCACACCACACAAGAGAGACGTGCATCCCTCTCGCCCTGCCTCCCTCTCTGTGTGTGTGTGGTGGTGTCTCATCACATACCTGTGCGAGCACTTTTGGTGCGCCCGCCACGTTCGTCTTGTACTGCCAGTCGGACGTCACCGCCATTGTGTCTCGGTCGCCGCCTCCGTCTGTGACGTGCCACGTCGGCGGCACGCCGCCGCCGAGTGCCGCAGCCATGCTGAAGTAGCTGCATTGAGGCGGAAGGGGCGGCACGAGCGTCGTGGACGGCGCCTCACACGGCGCTGATGTGAAGGCGAGTCGGTCAAAGTGGGCCTGCGCGCCACTCGTGAACACACCCACACTGCCACTGCACACCACACACACACACCCACACACACAGAGAGAGAGAGAGAGAGACAGAGATGGATCAGTCGATGCATTTGGTGTGTGTGTGTGGTTGGGGTGTGTGGTTACGAGATCAGTGATCCCCAGCGACTTGAGGTACGGCAACACGACTTTCAGCTGGCTGGCATCTCGCAGCTTTAAGGGTGCCATGCCGACTTGCTCACAGCTGTGGTGGGCATCTGCTGGCGTCTTGATGAGGTCGGAGATGCTGTGCCCCGCCCGTCGGCCGGCCGTGAAGAGGGAGAGGGTGGCGGCCGTTGGCGTGTGGCAGAAGGCGCGAAAGGGTGTATCGGCGCAGGGCGGCTGGACGTAGTAATAGCCAGATGGGAAGGCCGCATTGGCGGCCGCCTCGAGACACGAAGCCAGCGTCACTCTCGCGCCGGCCGTGTGGACGCGGCCGTGCTCGACCTGCAGGCACTGCTCCTCGCCGATGGATGTGATGCCGCTGATGAGTGTGACTGTGGGGACGCCATAGCCGATGAGGCGGAGTGTGTTGATGCCGTAAAAGTCGTGGACGGGCCGACCCATCACCACCTGCATGGCCTTGACGCGCCTCGGTGCGTCGAACAACAGATCCTGACCAAGACAGAGATGCGACACAGACACACATATGTATCAATCTCTGTCTGTCCGGTCCGTGTCTGTCTCATAGATTGGCTGCTTGCCTGGTCGAATGATTCTTCTGTCCGTGGTGCCGTGCGCATGGGCAGCGCTGCCTCGTACTCGCGGCCGTCGACCGACGTCTTGATGGCCACCTCACCCGGCGCGTATGCCCAGTGGATGGACACGCCCCGCACACGCTTGGGCATGCCCGACACAAAGCCCGTGAATGTCACGACGCCGCTGTCATTGTGGCCGCCAGCCGAACACCAATACCCCGACCCAGCCACGATGCCATTCTCTGCAGCAAACTCACGCGAAGACGAAACACTTTGTAATTAAGCAATGGCCTGCATTCAACACAGAGAAACGAGAAGGGCGTGTGTGTTGACCTTCTTTGTTTCCCTTGCTGACCTTTGGCTGGAGGTCTGCTGCTTGTACGCCCTCGAGAGGAGCTCGCGCCTCACCCCCACAATTAATGAGCTTGTTGGCCAGATCGTCGTGCCCCCATGAAATTGTCATCCCATCCATCATGTCATGTCAACCAGCCCATTCATGCCAACAGTCACCCGACACCATACACCACACCATACCACACGACACCACACCACACCGCACATAAACGACACCGACACCTGTCTGTTTGTCTGCCTGTCTATCCCCGGCACATCAACCAACGCATTCACAAACAGTCGGTCATCACTCGGATGTTAGATACACGCACTTACACGCACCACATGTACCATGCATGCCGCGAATGAATAAATGAATTTGCACCACAGAGAGCACGCAACGAAACAACAGCACACATACACGGACATGCCCCCCCAGACCTTTCCCAGACCTGATGCGTTCGTCTCATCCATCTCATCCATTTATGGCCGCCTTCTGTTAGTTATTTGGCACGACGCGCGATGCGATCGATGCATTCATTCAGGGACGGCGCCTATTGTGTGATGGCCAGGGCAGACGCCCGCCCATACCCGGGTGTGGGCCATTACGGCTGCCACCTCCCCCTCTGCTCCCTTGCTCTACCTGTCCGCCGCCCCCAGCCACACACAAGACGGCAACAGTACATGTCGCGGACTCATCTTCCTCTGATGGCTCCGACAGTAATCGTGTCACCGTCACATCGACGGTTTGCACTTCTGTAGATGGCCGCCGACAAGTCAGCGAGAAGTGCATGCTGTCGTGGTCATAGACGAGCTCCCCCTCTTCGTCGGGCAGGACATGGTGCGCAGGGGTGATCTGAGGCGGATGCCGTTTGCTCATCGGTAGGCCCTTAAGGACGTGGTTGACAGGGTAGGTGTATGGCGAGGAGCCCACGAGGGCCAAGAGAGGCGTGCCGAGATCCGGGCAGGTGAGCAATGCTGGCTCAGCGGCAGCGGCGGGCACGTGGGGGCAGTCGATGTGCACCAAACAGTCCACAGAACGGCCGGCGTCATCGATAACGATTGCCCACATCTGGGCATCCACAGGCCGGTCCTCTCCCTCCGTCACACACGACACCATCAAGGCTTGCTCGTCCTCATCAAAGGCCACATCCATGTGGCCGTAAGAATTTGGATAGAAGGAGAAGTTGCCCGCCGCAAAGCTGTCGGCAGCTTCCATGCTGTCGGCTGTATGCTGGGGCCCGGTGAGAGGGGGCGAGAAGAGAAAGGGGAGGGGCAGGGTGAGGAATTGGGTTGAGGCTGGGATGGCCATCACGGGAGGGGTGGCCGGGCACGTGAAGCTGCCCACATCCTCATCAACTTCCCCACCGAATAAGGCTGCATCTTCGTCTTCGCACTCGATCTGCAGCGGACAGCTGCCCTTTGCCAACAGGCTGTTGTGCAGCTGGTCGACAATGGTGATGTTGACAAGCTCTCTTCGCCTCCCCTTCGTCTCACACAGGGTCTCAAGCACCTGCTTCTGACGCGCGTGGGCGCTTCCCTTGAGTGCGCGCGGCTGGCGAAAGCGAGAAAGGGACGTCACCTCGTACCTGCGAGCGCATCCATGAACACCCACACAGAGGCACTCGCAGCAAGGTTCGATCACATCACACGCAGTCATGTGCATGCTAGCAATGCTTACTTACAGGATTGGGTAGCGTCGTTTGGCCTTGTCGACGTTGCCCTTGAGCCGCCTGCGGTTCTGCGCCAGAATGGCAGTTGTGTTGGCTTTGTAGGGGAAAAGCCTTTCGATGTACTCTGTGGTAATGTCGCCCACCAACCCAGTAATGGTCGGCGCCTGACTGGGGCAGGGGAACGTCGGCAGCTCATCCGGCGAGTCTTTCCGCAGCAGGTCTTCAAGGAATGTCTGTTCTTCGGTGTCTGTGGTGTCAAAGCCAATGGGGCAGTCCCCACCACAGGGCGCAGACTCGGGGCTCTCTCTCGTAGGTGCCTCCTTGGACCGTGCGCCATGACGCGTCCTTGCCTGTTGCGTGTCTGGGGAAGGCCTGACGCCGCTGACATTATCGCTGAGCCAAACGCAAAGCAGCAGGGCGCTGAGAAGCGGCCCTGTCCTCATCTTCTTCATCGCCGGGCACACCAATCGGGTGGCGATCTCGGGCACCTTCTCCGCCAGCCTCGAAGCAGCGTCTTTTTTAAAAGTACAATGCGGCTGACTATTATTTCGTCAGAGCCTCGGAAGCTCATTGGGCTTCCTTGGACCGCCGAGACATTGTTCGATGGGACCCCTCTCTCCCCTCTTGCGTAAGGATGCGTCACGAGTGCGAGAACAACACGTCGGCCAAGTTGCGTGGCGTTAGGCGAGGATAAGGCGAGCCTCCGGTGTACGGCAACGAGTATGGTCGTCGTTGAAGGGGCTTGAGGTGACCGACCGACTCAACTCATCAGAGAGAGATCGGGGCCGGAAGTTTTCCTTCCCACCGCCATTCGCCTGACACACAACTAACTGACTGCACGAGAGAGAGCCCTGCCCTGCCTGGAGTTTTGTGCACACAGCGCGGCCGTGTGACGTGACAGAGTGCGTGTGCGTGTGAGTCTGTGTGTATGTATACAGACAGAAGGGTTGGTTAGAGTAGGCAGGCTACACAGACTGGTCTTGATGCTCTCGTCCAGCTAGCTACTTCCTGAGGCGTTTTGTTGTACCGTCGCCTCCTCTCCCCCTGTACAGCCGTCATTATGGGGTTCCTTGCTTTCCTCGCTGCCGTCGCCATTACACTGACCTGTAACCTACCTGCAACACACCAGACACCACACCACACCACAGCAGTACCAACAACCATCGATTGTGCCTGGTGTGTTGTGTGTGTACGTGTGTCATCAGGTGTATTCTGTCAGCCCAAGCAAGAGGAGCCTCCCGACGGGAAGGAGCTCCGGTCACCTTGGGTGCCCGAAGGCTACGAGAGGGACTGGGAGCACAGCGATGAGTTCGACGGCGACAAACTCGATATGAACAAGTGGCTCTATCGGGAGGAATGCGGACCGGAGTCGTGCCAGCTGCCGGAAATGGTGCGTGGGGGTGGGATATGACGTGACGCCACATACAGACAGACAGACAAGATAGATTGCTGCTGTTGGTCGGTTCGTGCAGGTGTCTTTGGTCGAGGGCAATCTGCGTGTGCAGATGTCGAGGCTTGAGAAGCCAGTGCCTGTCCCGAGCGGCAACTACTCACTCAACTATGCTGGGGTGCGTCATGGATACCACACACAAACGGACCGGAAAGGCAGACAGACGGACCCTCTCTGTGCTGTGTGCCACTGGCTGCACTGCAGGGTGGTGTGATAACCAAGGACGCATTGCCGTACGGCTATTTCGAGGCGCGCATCAAGTTTTGGGAACACCCTGGCTTCTGGATGTCGTTCTGGGCCGCGACGGCCGAGTCTATCGACAAGGAGGCGTGTCAGAGCTGCAAGAACGTCTCGCAGCCGCGGCAGGAGATCGACTTGTTCGAGCATAATGGAGGCGTCAACGCGTACCAGTACAACTTCATCAAGTGGCACCCCGTCCCAAGGATATACGTGGCTGGACGGCGGATCTACCCCGATACGGAAATCAACAAGGAATTCCACGTGTGGGGCATGGAGCACACGCCCATCGAGGTGAGTGAGATGCCCAACCAGTTAAACAAGAGAGAGAAGGAAAGGCGAGACAATTTGAATCTCTCTGTCCGTTCGGTTCGGTGGTGCAGACCCGCTTATATCTGGACGGCGTGTTGTTTGGTTCTGCGGACTGGAACACGATGTATGTGCGTGAGATGAGCGACTTCCACTACTGGCTGTCGGCCATCATCACCATCCACATCACACACTGCATCACCGACGAGTCCAAGCTGCCGGGCGAGATGCTCGTCGACTACTTCAGATACTACAGACCAAAAACAGGTGAGTGAGGCGGGGCGGGGAGCCCACAGCCATCCATCCATCCATCCTATTGGTCTCTCTCCCGCCCTCTGTCTGTGCATTGCAATGCATTGCAGGTCCCAAGTTCGTATTTTCTGAGCCGGACGGGGAGGCGGCGAAGGGAAAGGCAAAGAAGGCTAAAGGCGCACCAGAGAAGCGCGTCCGTGTGGGCGGCACCGACTGCCGCGGCGGCGGGCCCCTCCTCGCCCAGACGCCCGCCTCCCTCACCCGACTGCACGAGTTCACCCTCTCCTTCTGGGTCAAACACGGCAAGCAGGATGCCACGTATGTCCCCTATGTGGGCTTCAGCCGGTCCGACAGCTCCAATGAGGACATCCTCGCCGTCGAGCTGGACAAGACCACACTCGTAGTCACCATTGCTGGCTCCGTTGGCACAGCCAAGCTGCAGGTGGAGGACTTTTGGAACCGGACTGGCGAGGCGGTCCCTGCTGCGCCCGAGCTGCCCAAGCCCACCAGGAGGCGGCGGGCATTGCGGCAAGCGCAGGTTGCGACAATGACTGCACCGCCGCCTGCTGATGATGAGGGCAAAGAGGGGGAGGGGAAGGAGGCGAAGGGCGGTAGCGCCGGTGGCAGTGTGCCGTTGGAGTGGGAGCATGTGGGTGTGACGTGGAGCAGCCAGACGGGCCAGGTGATCGTCTACAGGAATGCACGCGTCGTCACTAGGAGCTCTGCAATGGTCAGCCAGCAAACACACACACACACACACACGCGCGAAGCCACAGCAGGATCTGTGCTGTTCGTTCTCTTCATGTGTGCAGAAGGGCAAAGTCCTCCCTCGAGACGGGCAGGTCACTCTGGGCAGGGTGCTGGCCACACCAAAGTCGGCCCCCTCACTCGTGGGCGAGCTGTCCAACGTCAAGCTCTTCTCTCGCCAGCTGACGCACCGGGACCTGTCGACGGTCTACTTCTGTCTCAACGTGTTCGGCGATCTGGCCGATACACAGTGGTCAACGGCTTCCATCCAAGCGGAGGGTGGCGTGGAGGTGAGCGAGTCCAACGACGCGCGGTGTCCCTCTCCGTGGGAGGGCCCCGCCGTCGCCCCCGATGTGGTCATCCCCATCGAGATGGGCTCCCTCTTCCGGCCTGACCTCGTCAGCGGCCTCCCGTCCCTCCACACCCAATCCTCCCTCACCACACCCACTACGGCCGACACGTCATCCGACCGGCGGCAGCTGCAGCAAGTCTTCCACGGCGACGTGACGCCCGAAATCGTCAACTGCGTCGGGGAGGAGCCGGCGCAGTACTTTTTCCCAAAGATACGGCATTACGACATCAACACGCTGCAGCAGTGGGAATCGCCGTTGGGTGTTGACGAGGAGATGAGTGCGCCAGCAGTGAGGCCCCCGCCACATGAGAAGGAGGATGCAGATTCGACGGGGTCATAGATAGCTCTATGGGTGCGGTGCGAGAGGGGCAGAGGGAGGGGTGGTTTTGTGCGTGTCGTTAGATTGTTTTTTCTTTCTCACGGTGGCATGGCACCCATTCTGCCCCGCCCTGCCCCGCCTTTCGAAGGAAGCAGAGCGGTTTTGCTGGCGTCTGGCGTGTTTTGTAGGCGTGTGGCGGACGGAATTGTTGTCAAGTTTGTAAGGCACACTTCGTAAGTGCACCAGTTAGGACAGTGAGTGGCACACACACACATACATAGATACATACATAGAAAGACTGTTCGTTCGATTGCCTCGCGGACTCGCGACCAACACAGGCAGACAATGAAAGGCCGGCGGGGAGGGAGGGAGAGGGATGGAGAGGGATCGTCAATGGATCTGTTTACGGGCTGGCTTGGTGGGGCGGTGGGGGATGGGTATCCAGCACTGCATGCAGCATTTCATGATGAGAAATCTTTTGCCCGCCTGCCTGTCTGTTGACATGGCAGACAGGCAGGCTCAGGGAGACACGACATGTGTGTCTGTATAGCTTTATAGTAGTGAGTGCAGTGTGCGTCATGTAATTACTGACGGCCCGCCCGTCATTCATTTACGTCTTTCTTTCGGCTCAGCTCTTTCTCTTGTGAGTGTCCCCCGTGCCAATCTATCTATACGATGTGGATGGATGTGTGAAAGTCTCCGTGGCGTTTTATAGCCTCTCGTCTCCGAGAGAGCGGCGGGCCAGCCGGGCAGGCAGGCAGGCAGAGAACGAGAGGAGAGACACATGGCGGTCCGGTCTGTCTGCTAAGTGTATATCACGTCATCCAAGGCGGTTCGCATTGGTTACCGCTCGCATGCGAGGTCTCAGATGTGAACGTATCTATGTATCTATGTATCTGTGTGTGTGTGTGTGTGTGGGCGTAGGTGATATATTACTCCTTGCTTGCTTCCTTGATATTACCTTACCGTGAGTGCACAGCACATGTGTGTATCGATTGCATTGCATTGCACACATTTATTATGGAGGGAGGGAGGCGAGTACACAGGCAGGCAGGCAGGGGCTGGGGAAGCAATTAGCGGTTTGAGTAGCATAGCATATACAGAGCCATATTATATAGCATTGACTGACCGACTGCTCGCACCGTCCCTTTCTCCCTCCTCTTTTATGCACACGCCCATCCAGACATCCAGCCATCTGTGTGCATGTGCGTGAGTGTGAGTGTGTGTGTGTGCCGGTTGATGGGCGGGGTGGGCGGGGCGGTAGACTAGGTAGCCGTGCATGCACCCGAAACAGGAGATGTATGTGCCGGTTGTGGCTGTGGCCGTGGATGGGTAGAAAGATGGATAGATGGACGCTGCATGGTGCATGCGCGGATGCGGGAATGCATGTGTGCATGTATGTCTACGTGTGTGAGCGTGTGTGTGTGTGTCTATGTGTTTGTCTGACCGACCCTGGCTCCGTGTCAGTCGACTGACTTTCTCACCCTTATTTGTTCTTCCTTCCTTCATCTGGCCTGCATGGCATCATCCATTACTTACGGAACACACAAGAAGAGTCTTTACACACGCACAGCACAAAAAAGCATGCAATGCACCACGAGCATGGTTTTGTCCATCCGGCAGGCAACCCGACGTTCATCTGCCTATTCCGCCGCCCATTCAGTCAGCACCGACTTTTTCTTTCACTCTCCCTCCCTTGCCCCAAGCACCGCCCTCTCCCTAGGCCCTCTGTCTTCGTCTCCCCCCAACCGGTACCCCCCACTCTGGGGCCACACATGCCCACTCGGATCGGCCTCCCACTCAGTCTCGTCCGCATCTTTCCGCCTCAGCAGCGGCTGCAGCGCCGATTCTATGTGTTGGCGTATCTCTCGCCAGTTGCGGCCCATGAGCCAGAGCAGCAGGAGGACGGTGAAGGCCACCCAGTGCATTGGGAGGTCTGACAGGGGGCGGTACACCTTGTCATACAGATAACGCCAGGCAGACCTGCAAACAGACAGGGACGGAGGGAGGGAGGGAGTATGATGCGGTGCGCGACGGACGGCGATTGTCCGTCGGCTGTGTGGGTGGGCTTTTGTGTGTACCGTTTCGGCTTCTTCATCCGCACTGTTTCGTCACCAACGGGCTTCTTCGCGTACCCCTTCGTCATGGCGGCGGGAGTGCCTGCAGTGCAGAGAAGGCATGTATATTGGCACAAACACGGTCGATCGATGAATGCACTTGGTGTGTGTCTTGTTTGTTGTCTCACCATCGAAGCATGGCACAGACGTGGCGTCCCCTGCCGCAGGGGAGTCCGATCCCTCATGCAGCGCCGCCAAGATGCTGTCCTCGTCCCTCACACGGCTGCTGTGCACCTCAAAGCCGGACAGGCGGCAAAAGTCATCGCTCGTCGATGTGACTGAACACACGAACCACAGGCAAGCAGATGAGAGCGGTGGGTTCGGTTGCGACATTTTCACTCCACTCACTCAGTCACTCACTCTCTTGCAGAGGGCTGCAGACGGAGTGGTGTGGCCCACAAGGCATCAGCTTCTCGGCGCTGCCTGAGGGGGCGGGGGAGAAGTAGTCGTCCCTGCATGAGGTGTACCACTCATCACACAGGCTGGCACACAGCAGCGGCACTCTGTTGCGCGTCTTGACCTCGGTGCCCACGTCGCCGTCACACACAGCACACCACACGCGGCTCGTGGCATCCTGACGGACGGAACGAACGGAAAGGACCACACCATACGACGTATGAACACCGCGAGATTGATGAGTTGCCTTGCAAAGGTCCGATGCGGTGCCTTCGTCGCCGAAAGCCGCCACCAGTTTGCTCAGTATGCGGTCGGTGTGGATGCGCTGACAACACGCTGGGCGAACCAGACAGACAGACAGGCACTCAACTCAACGAACCGTTTGTTTATCCCACGCAATCCTCTGTGGCCTCTCCGCTCACTTCTCGCTTCATGCTCCGGGCAGAAAGACAGCAGGCCCCGTCGATCTCGAGGCACGTCCAGAGCAAAGTCCATCGACTTGGAACACAGACCTGCAATGCAATCACACACACACATATGGCACCACCCGAAGGACGCACCACAATGATATGAGTCAGTCGCATGCACAGCACTCACTGCTTACGTGTGTCCTTTCCATTGGGTGCTGCCTGCGCTCCCGTCGACAATGTCCAGAGCATCACCGCCAGGGCTGCCTGGAGAGTGCCGTGAAGGCACAGCAGAAAGGATCCTCGCCCGTCAGCTGCCATGAGAGATGAGCCAATGACGATAGGCAGCGCCATCGTTGTCCAGAGGACGCTAATCACGAGGCGCCTGGTCTGCTGCGAGCTCAAAAACCTAGGGTGCTCCCTGAAACCGCTGGGAGCGGTGAGCCGCTGAACTGCAGACTTCAACTGATTTCGTCCGTCTAGGAATGTCCGACTTCTTTGACAAGTATCCCTGGGCGCTCTCCCGGTTGGACGGCCCTCACAGGATCAACCCTCGGAGGTTGGAGAACGAGTCACACTTGTCCATAGGCCCCTTCGGGGAACGGTTACCGCCACCTGATTCGCCACGCGCCATCGCGGAACGCCGTGAGTGATCCACCCCACAGGACGCACCTTACTCCCTCTGGATCTTTCCCGCAATATATGAGCGATTGACTGTTTGGTTGCTGCAGATTATGGCGACTCGTTCCCGCCAAGTGCGCGAGATGCATGGGCCACAGCCCAGCGGATGAAGGTGACGACGCGCATGCGGCCCGGCTGGCTCGGCAACTCGGAGTTCATGGCCACCATGTGGGCGTCGATGGTCATGCCCGTGCTGCAGAGGGACGAGGACGACGAGCCCGTGCTCAAGTGGGTCGTCGGCGAGCAGCTCGTGCCCGCCAAATCGCTGTCTGAGGCGGACATCAGGCAGAGCTACATAGACGCCATCGTGCTGACGTCCCGTGGCCACAAGGACGCCGTGCCCCCCGATCAGGTGCACACTCTCCTGTTTCCCGAGTATTGGCAGAAGAAGGGCAAGGGCAAGGGCGGGGGCAAGGGGGGCAAGGCAGGCGGTGGTGGTGGCGGTGGTGGCGGTGGTGGGGATGGCGGGGGTGCTGCTGCAAAGGCTGCCGGTGCCTCTTCATCCTCATCTGCTGCCGCGGCTAGTGCTGCTGCTCCCGGTGCGTCCTCATCTGCGCTGGCCGATAGTGGTGGCAACGGTGCGGGCGATGGGGAGACGAAGAAAAAGAAGAGGAACAGACGCAAGAAGAAACAGAACACCCAGCAGGTGGGTGAGGTCCGGTGCGAGAGAGGGAGGAAATTGTGGGTGGTGTCATGCGACATGTTGTCTGTACTTGTCAGGTTGCCGAGGACTCTCAGCCATCCGCATCGGCCGGCGACTCGCAGCCATCGGCGCCAGAGCCAGCTGAGAGCCACTGGATCGTCTTAGGAGTGGTGCGTGAGTTAGCTGAAGTTCATCCAGGTCGCGTGTTGTGCAGGTGCAGTGCTTCATGGTGCTTGGGGGGTGGGGTGCTGGTGACGTACCGACCGACCGACCGATGTGGATAAATGTGTGTGCATGGCGATGGCGGGTGTGAGGGAGGGACAGGTTAGCTATTATCTGTGCATGCGACGGATGAGTCGATCAATCCATGTTTGGACAAATATATCAATGGCATCACAACCCAGCCAGTGTCATGTCATGTTACAAAAGTATCTTCCTTCTCTCCCTCCCTCCCTCCCTCCCTCCCTCGAGCATCCGACCGACGAACCAACGAACGAACGACAGACTCTCTCTGTAGTTTCCTTCCCCTCAAGAATCCTTCCTCTCTCATGCGCTTTGCATCGGCAGACACACCGGGAAGCAGCGGGACAGGCGAGGGCAACCGAACGGCTCAGATCGGCTGCCCTAGCCTAGCCTTCTGAAATCCGGTGCATCTGCTCTGCACGACGGCGCACACGAAGCAACGACTGAACTACATGATACATCGACGATACGTCATTCCCCCCCTCTGGGCGCTTGGCTTGGTTTCCGTCCTCCTGTGTTGCGCAAGCATAACACCCCATCGTCATCTGGCCATCGTGTTGCTTCGTGTACCGATGTGGTCGCCAATTTGCGCACACAACAAGAAAAACGATCAACCCAGACAGCGAATTCCACCCTTTCCACTCTTTCGCTTTGCACTCGATCATCGCTGGCTCTCTCCTTCACCCTCTCGCTGCATTCGTTCACTCGTCCCTTCCGTCCGTCCCTCCCCTTTGCCTTGGGCAGCCTGGCCCTCTCCCTCTCTCTCTCACGGACATGCAGGTGTGTGCAACACAGACAGACAGAGACAGAGAGACAGACAGGTCGCCCAAAAAGACTTGCCCGCCTGGCCTGGATGGCACGTCGTTCCAGCCAGCGTCACATCCGTGTTTGGAGTGATGACGCAGACAGACAGACAGACAGGCAGGCAAAACCACAATCAGCCCTTCCACACCCCAACCCAGCCCACGGAGACGACAGACAGCCAGCCAGCCAGACGGACAGATGTACGTCCGGTAGGTATCTTCACCCACGACACGAAGGGATCGGATCAGGAAGCACAAGCATCCAATCCATGGCATGCACCAGCCAGGCAGCAGTTGGTTGGGTTCTCCCAGTCAGGTAGTCAGGTAGCAACAAGTATGAATCATTTACAGTGCATATGAATGCAGCGATGTTTGTCTCTGTGTGTGTGTGTGTGTGTGGTTGCGTTGTGTTGTGTGCATCCATCTACTCTACTAAGCAGTGAGGTAAGTACATGCATTGCAAGTGAGTGAGATGTGAGGCGAGATGAGATGAGATGAGATGAGATGAGAGTGCGATCGGTCGGTCGGTCGGCCGGTATGTAACCATGTGTGTGACGGGTGTGGTGTGATGACGGCACGGTCAGCCAGGTTAGTTAGAACAATGGCGCAAATCACTTTGACTCGCGCAGCCCCAGTCAGCCAGTCAGTCGAGGAGGACGTCACGTCCCTTGCTCAACGTCATCGTCCTCTCCTCTCCTTCCCCCTTGCCCTTCGGGTCTTCCCTCTACTAGTAGCACACACCATGACATCCACACACACACGCACACACGCACTGGAGGGAGGGAGGGAGGGAGGCACATCAGTCACATTGGAAAAAGAACAAACGACGAGTCAAAAAAATCCGTTTGCCCAGTCATAGGTACAGGCCCCAGTCATTCTGTTGTGCATTTCTGCATCCACTGCATCCAGCCTGCCAGCCAGCCAGTCAGTCGTTGGTTCGGAAATCAATTTCTTGCGTCAGTCACGACAAAGTACTTGAAGAAAAAACAACGACAGAAAGAGAAAAAACAACCAACCCAGCAGCGTAGCATTCTTTGTGCACCCAGACAGACAGACAGACAGAGAGAAAGAGAGAGAGACAGCCAGCCGGGAGTGTGTGTGTTGAGTGTGTGTCTTGGTCCGACCATCCGTGAGACCAAAGAATCCATGGGTGGGCGAGTGAGTGAGTGACCCCCTCTCCTCCCTCCTCCCTCCCCCCTCCTTTCCCTTTAACATACGTACGTATGTATGTGTCGTGTTGACAGTACATACAGACATACAGGTGTCTAGCTGGCTGGCTGGCTGGCTGCGCGACGGATGGATGGATGGATGCCATCTAACCCGACCACCAGAACAACTGTCGCCTGCACACAGATCAGACACACACAGCACAAACAAAAGGGTACGTACGTCCACATGCCATGGATGCGCCCCGGTGGTTGGTTGGTTGGTTGGCCACTGACTGACTCACCCACCAGTTGAATGTGAAGGGAGGCGGCCACGGCCCGTCGTACGCCGGCAACGTCGCCGTGCCTCTCCCCCCACCAGCACTCTCACCCCTACTCTCCTCCCTCCCCTCTCCCTCTTGCTTGTCCACCTTGACCCACTCATGTCCTAGAGAGCCGTCACCAGCAGCGTTGGTGGTGAACCTGACGCCCCTGCCCTCCTCTCTCTCCACCGGGCCTATGATCTCGAAGGTGTCCTGGTGGTGGTCCACACCCTGCTGCTGCTGCTGGTGGTGGTGCATGTGTGGGTTGCGTGATGACGAGCGTGACGAGAGCGGCAGGGCGGCGGAGCGGGTGACGTGTGGCACGTGGGGTGGCTGGTCCTCCTCGGGGATGGGGGGCGTCACGATCGTGTCGGGCAGAGTGTCATCAGACGGCTGCACGCACAAACCTGCAACAAGGAAGGACGGATCAGGCAGGCGACAAGCCATTGTCTGTCTGGTGGTCGCAGTGTGTGCCCTCGCGGCTTGCCTTGCCCACCTACCTTGTCCCACAGGGTGCTGGCCCTCCTCGATTTCGATCTCCTCCCTATTTTCCTCCTCCTTGCCCCCATCAGCCGCCCCCTCACATGCGTCCACAGCCTCAGAAGCAGCAGCTGCTGCTGCGGCACCAACACTGACCTCTCCCTCCCCCTCCCCCTCGCCGTTGGCCATGCGCGACGAAGACGACGACTCGAGTGCGCGCAGCTCCTGCAGCTGTGAGGGGCCCAGGTTGATGACGGGCGTCTTGCGTCGGCCCCGCACCCGCAGCTGGCGCAGCTGACGTCGCACAGGGTTGTAGAACTCGGGGTCCGATCGGTACAGCTCGTCGCGCCGCTCGTCCACCATCCCCGCCGTCTGTGGGTCGAACGACACAACGGGGGGCGGCTCACGGGATGCAGAGCCTGGTGGCACACACGCCCAACACAATAAATGACATTGGTGAGTATGGGTGGGTGGGTGGATGGATGGCCTACTTGCGGCAGCAGCGGCCGAGGTGTCGGATGTGCCCAGGCTGAGTGCCTGCAGCTCCGCCAGTTGGTCGGGTGAAAGTGGCGGTGGTCCGGTGTTCTTGCGTGTGCGGATGCGCTGGAACCTGACTTGCTGGCGGCTGGGGGCGTCGAACGAGTCGTCGTTGCCGATCTCCACGGGCGGGTGAGTCGAGATGGACGCGCGACGACGGGCGTCCGTACCTGAACCAAGGAAGAGCCAACCAAAACACATACATGCAACATGAGACAGACGGGCCGCCTGTTATCTCTGTTGTCTCTGCCGACTGACCTCCTGTGTCGGCGGTGCTGGGTTCTCCAGCAGCAGCAGCAGCCGCAGCAGCAGCGGACATCATGTCGCCCCGTGCGCTGGCCGCTCCCTGCAGCTGCCGCTGGCGCTGCTGCTCCTCCTCGCTGTAGTAGTGGTAGAACTCGTTCCGCAGCTCAGCCAACTCGGACTCGCTCAAGCGCACGTACCCTGTCTTCTTGCGACGACGACACAACTCTTGCCGCCGGCGGCGGCGGTCCGGATCGTCGAACGCACTTGTGTCGTCGGGGCCCAGCACGGACGGCGAGCCCTCGGTGAACGACACCTTCCTCGGTATGCCCCCATCGCACTCGGGTGGTCGCAGCTCAGCCGCGGCCGCTGCTGCAGCCGATGTGCTGGTGCTCTCGGCCATGGGAGTGCTCATGTCGGCGTCGCAGCACATGAGGTCGCGCAGCTCAGCCCGCTGCTCGGGGGAGAGGGGGGTGACACCTGTCTTCTTGCGCCCCCGGATCATGCGGGCGCGGAGGTCCCGGCGGTCGGGGTGGTAGAAGTCGGCATCTGGCTCGCCGTCCTCGCCCGCCTGCTGGGAGGGGCCGAATGACACGTTCTTGCCGTTCTTGCCGACACGGCGGTCACGGTCACGGTCGCGGCCTCCGGGGGGACTCAAACCGGGTGGTCGGTGGCGCATGTATGGGTAGGGGTCGTGGTGCTCGTCTGAGGCTGTGAGGTCGTCTTCTGTGGGTGCGAACGCCGCCTGCAGCTCCTCCAGCTGGTCGGCCGTGAGCCGCGTGACGCCAGTCCTCTTGCGCGACCGGATGAGCTCGCTGCGGCGCTCGCGCCGCTCCGAGCTGAAGAAATCGTCATTGTCGTTGTCGTCCTCGTCGGTGTGCAGCCGTCGGTCCTCAAATGACACGTGGCGGCGCAGTGTGGCGCCCAGGTCCGAGTGGCGGTTGGTGGACTGAGTCGATGTACCTTGCCGGTGGTCGCCCACCCGGTCGTCAGCCCGCATGGGGGGCGACAGAATGCTAACGGTGGCGCTCGCCGTGGCCGACGAGGGGGACCCCTCATCGTCACCATCCCGGCCACCCAACCCATGACCCATCTCGGATGGGCTCGAGAGGTCGCTGCTGCCCGCGGATTTCTTGGATCGGAGCGCGCTGAGGACGGGCAGCGTGAGGGGTGGGGGGTTGCGCAGGGTGGGGAGGCCACTGTCCTTGGATGTGCTGTGCTGGAGGGAGCTGGTGCGGCTCATGAGGGACCGGCGCCTTCGGAGCCGGTTGCGAACCACGCGCTTGCGCTCCTGCGGGTTCGGTGTGCGCATTTCCTCGTCGTCGCTGCAGGAGCCCTTCTCGGAGAGGCCGAAGGACGAACGGGACGATAGGGACAGGGCGGGGGAGGGAGCCTCAGCTCCTTCAATGAAGTGGCGAGTCGTAGAAAGAGCTGCACACACACACAACGCAACACACAACCAACACGTGGAGAAAGAAGTAGTCATCAGCCCAGCTGGCCCCCGTGTCTGTCTGTGTCTGCGTGTCTCGCTCGCTCACTTGATGTGCTGCCCAGGTCCAGGATGTGCCTCACGGCCTGTCCATATTGCTTCTTGAGCTCGTCAGCCGAAGGCGCCCGTGGGAAGAGGCTGTCAATGTCGTCCGAGTCGTCGTCCATGCTCGAGTAGCAGCTGCCCCACTGGTAGCGGGGACTGAGCACCTCATACGACTCGCGAATCACCTCCTCTTGGAACCGCACGTGCTTGGTGGAGGACGGTTCGGGACCCTTGGACATAGGGTGGATCGGGTGGGGGTCAGGGGAGTCACACTCGGGCAAAGGACAGCTGCTGTTGGCCATGTGGTGTGAGCGAGAGGGAGAGAAATGAGCGTGACGAACGCGTATCGGTAACGCCTATGTTGACTGGTTGGTTCCTTTCAACTCGAAAGCACCGGGGACGTCTTCAAAGTGACAAGACAACATCCTAACGATCGCTCCGCTTGTTTCAGTTTGGTTTCGGATGTACCGATCCACCTCTCTCCACTCTTCAAGCTCGCAGGCGTCAGGCCGGCTAGGGTGCTCCATGAAAGCTCGCAGCTCGGCCCGTGAAACGGCTCTCTCGAGCTTGGCCCCCTGAGTGCAGCTTTCGCAGGTGAGGATGAAGCCATCGCTGCTTGCATCTACCACGCTCGTCGCCTTTTTTACCTCTCCCACCCACTCACATGCCCACCTCGAGGGTGCGAGGACAGCGTCGGCGTTCATTCCCGTGACGCCCAGCAGCTTCATTCGCAGACGGGCGGCGCTCTTCCATCCGAAGGCAGAGATCCGGCGAAAAGGTGATCTGTTCGCGACAGCTCCGAGCGATGTTTCTGCAACGAGGCCGCCTGCCTTTGCCGGGGGTCTTCGGCAAGCGCTCAAGACGGAGCCGGCCTCGCGTGTGGTGGGTGTGCTTCAAGCCATCGTGTGGCGGTTTCCGCGGGAAATCGGGCGGTTCATCTATCACCCGGTGCTGTTCAAGGTGAGCGCTGTGTCTTTGGTGACGGGCCTGCTGACCAAGGCGTTCCGCATGAACGAGTCGCTTGACACGCTCAAGAAGGACCAGGAGGAGGGCAAGACGGCGAGGGGGGAGCGGTTCCTGAAGGTGGCTGGGCGGTATGTGACGCCTTTGGGAGTGCTGTGGACGGCTTTGGCGTTTGTGTGGGCGCTTTGGTGGTACCCCTTGCTGCTGGCGTCGTGGCTGTTTTCGATGGCATTTGACCGCGACAGGCGCCGGCTGGTCGACTGGGTGGTGCAAAACTGGGCCAGATGCGTCATGGTCAACATGACCTATCAAGTCAAGGTGGACAGACAAGACAGGGAGAGAGGGCAAAACGAGACGACGACATGTTGTGCCTGGTGTGTGTGTGTAGGTGACGGGTTTGGCCAACCTGCCCCCTCCCGGCGAGAACGCCCTGTATGTGCCCAATCACACGTCGTTCCTCGACATCATGACGCTGTCGGCATACCTGCCGGCACGCGCAAAGTACATTTCCAAGGCGGAAATACTCAACATTCCTCTCATCGGTACCGTACGCACAAGCCAGCCCACGTACCGTACCCACACACATGGTGAGAGCTTATGAGTGAGTGTGTGTGGGTATTTGTGTGCAGGTTGGGCGATGCGAATGGCGGCGCACATCGCCATCCGTCGCGGCGACCGTCGGAGTCAGCTGCAGACCTTCAGGGAGGCCGTCGACTCACTCAAGAAGGGAAACAGCCTCATTGCATTCGCCGAAGTCAGTGAAACGGACAGAGCGAAGACAGAAACAACAGAATCTAGGGGTGGTTTGTCCCTCCCTTTTCGTGTGATGGTTCATTGCAGGAGACCCGCAGTGTCGACGGCAGGCTCCGACGGCTCAAGCCTGGCACACTGAGGTAAACAAACAAACACCCGTAGCTAATGGCACGCATATCATATCATATCCACCGTGGATATGGGTGCTGTTTCCTTCCCACTCCCTCCCTCCTCTCCTTTCAGGATGGCTCAGAAGGCGGGTACCAAGGTGATCCCGGTGTCGCTGTGCGGCGTGCACAAGTGGTACCCCCAACGCGCATGGGTGCCACTGGGCATACCGGAAGGCGTCACCTTACACCTGCACCCACCCATCGACCCCACTGGTGGGTGCGTAAAGTCAACCTCCCCATGGCATGCAAGCCAAGCCATCAAAAGATAGCTATCCTTCCGTCTATCAGGTCGTGACGTCGATGACCTTCTGGACGAGGTGGCCACCGCCATCAACAGCGGCCTGCCGTCAGACCAGCGGGCGAGGTACCTCGAGGAGCAGCCAGACACTGAACCACAAGCAGAGGCAGGTGCTACCGCCACTGACACACGAACAAAACCAGAAGGAGAGACCACATCCACACCCACATCCACTGCCCCAACAGCTACCTCAGCATCCAGCACCCCAGCTGATCATGCGCAAGTGAGGCTGCCCGCCGTGTCCCTGTCAGCCAACGATAGCAGAAGCTCGGCCAAGGAGAATGCAGCGGCAGTTGAGGAGCCTCAGGCCGCGCAAGGCTCTCTCGTATCCATGATGGGTGGCGGTGGCGGGGGTGGGGGTGGTGGAGGCGGGTTGATGTTCGATTTCAACTGATGGACTGACGGCTGACAGTGAGGGAGGGATGTGCCAGCAATGCATGCGGATGGAGACACATGATGATTTCGATCATTTTTCGCCTTGTCTCTTGTGTGACGAGAGTTTTTGGTGATGACATGTTGAACCTCTCAGTGGGCTGCAGGACATGGACAACCTCACGCGCACACTCGCTGGCTTCGATGCTGTCCATGTCCAGCAGCTTATCGAGGGGTTCAACATCTGTGATCGATTCGGGTCGTCGGTTTTGGAGCGCTAGTAGGCAGAATGGGAGGACGATGCGAGTCATGCGATCGATGGATGGATGGATGGACTATTTTGTCGCGCATGGGCGCGAGTGAGTGCGTGTGAGGGCGTGTGTGGAGTCGTTACAACCACCCTGGCCAGAGTGGTAATAATGCGATAGTTATCATCATGACTCGTACGTATGTGTCTGCAGCAGGCACTGATACAGGCAGGCAGGCAGGCAGGCCACCAAGAACGAGCGGTAAGGATAGCAAGCAGCATGTAGGAATTTGTGACGACAACATTACACTCATCCATCCATCCATCCAGAAGGTTGAAACTGACACAAACGCACCACACACAGCACAGCAGAGAGGCAGGCAGATACAGGCAGGCAGGCGGGAAGGCGTCATAGCATAGCAGCAGCTGAGGCCAGTCAATTAGCAGTGAGTGAGTGAGTCGTTGGTTGTGTTCAATCAACAGCGGCGAGGGAGGGAGTGAGCGAGTGGGTTTGTTCCAATCCAGCACGCCACACCCCAGACCCAACACCTCACCCCACACACCAAACATGATATCAGTCAGTGGTGCTCCTTCCTCCCCATCTCCCCCCTCCCTCCTTCCTCCTCCCTCTCTCCATCCATCCATCGCTTACGTAGAGAGCGAGACAGACACACGGGCCCCGGACGTGGCGAGCATGTGGGAAAATCGGGCAGCCAGCCATTCGCCGTGTGTGTCACCCACCAGGTGGTGTCTCCGTGTGTGTGTGTGTGGCCATTCCCATGTCAAGGCAAGCAGGAGAAGAAAAGAACCCAACCCGCCTCAAAAATGAAATGTATGAAATGTATGTGGTTCTTTCGGCTGGCTCCTCTCCTATGCTGGATGGATGACGTTGGTATGCCTGCCTGGATGGCCGGCCGCTGACTGACTGCAGAGAGAAAAAAGACTTACTTATGTGCGAGGGAGTTGAGAGCCGCCGACGGCAGCTAGCCACAACACCCCCTCCCTGTCTCTCTCGTCGGGTGAATATGTGACATTCACACCCCCAGCCACGACCAATCAGATGAACAGGCCCCGCTCCGTCCCCACTGCCCAGAAGTGAAGTCCGCAGAGCGATTCTCTGACCGACCATGACCGACCGAATTGACAAACACCCGACGGCCCCCCCATCCGCCCACCCGCTCCCCCCCTCCATCCATCCACCATCCATCCATCCGCAGAAAAACAACGAGGCGGCGGATATACACATCTCATATACAGCGACCAAACCTGACCTAGAGAGAAGGAGACAGAGGGAGGGAGGGAGGGAGGGAGGAGGGAGCGAGGGCAGCATTCGCTCGTCCGTCTTGTCTGTCTACATGACGCCTTCATGCCTGTCTGCCTGCCTGCCTGCCAGCAAGGGTGCGCCTGCCGTGTGAGCGATTAATTAGAGTGCGTGTGTCGTGTGTGTGTGCCGAAAGAAGAAGGGACGGTGGGTGGGGAAGGGTGGGTGGGTGGGCTGGGCGTGATGTCGGTGTCAGGCGCCTGTTCTAAAGCCGACAGGATGTGGCACCCCACACACACACATCAGACAGACAGACTGCACACTCAGGCACCCAGGCGGGCCGGCCGGGACACGGCACGGCCCGACACGGGCACACGCACGCACATCAAGTCGGTCCGCCTGTCTGCCGGTACCCCTCTCTCTCTCTCTCTCTCTCTCCCTCTCTGTGTCTGCACTGCACCCGCTCGCACGCTGCACACGAAGGCATAAGGCACGAAAGCATCCATCCAGGAAAGGTCGGTGCGTTGGTTGCCGGTCCGGTAAGTACATCTGGTCCTCTTCTCTCGTCTGTCTAACTGTGTACAAGAGGGTGATCCACACACAAATCAGTCAGTCAGCGTCAAGTAGTCTCAACAAGCAGTGGCCAGTCAGTTGCCGAGTCAGTCAGTGGTGCCACTGTGTGTGTGTGTGCGTGTGTGCATGCGTGTGTGTGTGTGTCATTCTGCTCTCCGCAGCTAGCTGTGTACATTTGGCGGGCAGGGCCGCCTCTCTGTGTGTCGGTCGGTCTTTCTTTCCCGCCCTCCCAGGAACCGACCGATAGGGGTGAGTGAGTGGTTAAGTGGTTTAGGTGTACAATCAGTCAACAACAACTGTCCGGTGTGCAGTGTGTTTGCTCAGTGGCGTGTGTGTGTGTGTGGTCCCCCCATCCATCCACCCTTCTTACGGCTAAACCACCATCCATCCACCAACACACACACACGAACACACGCACACACACATGGGGGCGTTTGCAGACGGACAGACGGACAGGCAGACAGACAGACGGAGGGAGGGAGAGGGAGGGGGGCGAGGGAGGGAGGGGTGGGTGGGTGGGTGGATGTGTCATCCGCTAGGTAGTTACGATAGAGCCAGCCAGGGTGAGTGTGTGTATGCGTGTGTGTGTATTACGATAGACAGACAGACACACACACACACACATGAATGGTCAATATGAAGACACCCACACATCCACCCACTCACAGATGTACAGGCCGACGGACAGACAGACGGACGGGCGGGCGAGAAAAAGAAGGCGGCGCGGCAAGCCAAGCCACTCGTGCGTGAGAGCGGTGCCTGCCAGCCAGTGGGTGGGTGTGGTTTGCTGTCCTGGTGTGTCTGGTCTGTCGTGTGTTGTGTGTGATGCCATCCATCCCTGTCCACTCAGAGGCGGGTTTCCACCATCGAGCGAACAGTGAGTGAGCGGTCATTTCGCAAGCAAGCAAACAGCCGGCCAGCCACGCGCAACGCAACACAACACAACACAAGGCAAGGCACCACGGGACGGACGGCAGAAAAAAGGGTGGTCAGCAAGACAAGAAAGAAAAATCGGTCTGTCTGTCTGTCTGTGTGTCGTCGGTGTGTTGTGTGTCGTGTGTGATGTGCCGTTGTGCGGTGTGATGCCCTTCTGTCTGTCTGTGTGTCTGTGTGTCGGTGAATGAGCGGTATCCTCTTCTTCTTTTCTACAATCAATGAGGGTTATTGCCCGGCTGCCTGGCGAGTGGATGGCATGCGATTGATGGTGGAGAGAGAGGGGGTGAGGCCGTGCACGGGCCCACCCCCCACACCACCACCACCACCGACACATCCCCTTGACGCACCAGGCAGGACGGACAGTGTCCAATTCAGCTAGGCTCGTCACCAATCAGTCAGTCAGTCAGCCAACTGCCCATCCATCCATCCATCCAGGAAATAAGCACATACACTCAAACAAACAACAACGGCCATCCAGTCAGTCGGCAGGCAGGCAGGCAGGGGAGAGAGAGGGAGGGAGGGAGGGAGGGAGGGACAGAGAGGGAGAGAGAGAGAGTTCTAAAACAGATGGATGGCCCAACCCACCGACCAACCAACCAACCAAGCC